AATGAAAGAGCGAGAAAAGAGAAAGAAGAAGAAAATGAAAAAAAAATGACTGAAGAAAAGACAAGAATAAAAGAGAGAGAAAAAGAAAATGAAGCAAAGAAAAAAAAAGGAGAGAGAAAAAATGAAGAATGAAAGAGAGAGAAAAGAGAAAGAAAAAGAAAATGACGTAAAGAAAAGAGAATGAGAGAAAAAATGACGGAAGAAAAGACAAGAATAAAAGATAGAGAAAATGTTGGAAGAAAAGAGAAAGAGAGAAAGAAAATATATTAATGAAAGAGAGAATATAAAGAGAAAATATGTTCTGCTATTTTTGGTAATAGAATTAATGTTATTTTCAGTAAAAGTAGATATTATACTATAATTCGTAATTAATCTATTATATTATTATATTTATGAATGACCAACTTTTTTTTCATATGGAAGCTCTGATTGAGGTTGGAGTCGTCTCAACACTGGAGCACAATCCATGTTGATATAATACTTCACTCTCTTAGTTATTGTCTTGTAATTTCCTTTTTAATGGTAATATTTTTTATTAGTAATAATTTAATTATAAAATTTTATTTATATTTATTTAATAAAATAATTTATCATCATATAAACAATTAAAGAGTATTTTACGATCATAAATTTTTTTAAAAAATTTGTGTGAAGTTATACAAATTTCAACGGAAAGATTACTACTTGTGTGAAGAGTTTTAGTAAATTCACTTGTTACGGTAAATATTGTTTTACTCTTAATTAGAGATTTTAAGCTCAAATTTTTTTGATTATAGAATTTCTCTCAATGTAATCGAACTCCAATACATAAAAATAAATAAAAATTATAGTAGACTTTGACCCTACGACCACCAATTGTTGTTAAAAGGTTTTTGTTTATGTTTTCTGGAAAAAAAATATTAATTACAGAAGAGATTGAGGGGAATGAAAATACACAAGTTCATCGACTTTTAAGGAGATAAATAATTTTGTAATTTTATTGATAGTACCGGTGAAATTTAATAATTTAATGAGAAAAAAATATTTTGTGACTTTACTAACATGTTAATTTTGTTTATAAAGCTACCAATATTTATTTTGACTAATTTACTTATGATGAAATTCAAGTTCCCCAATAGTGAGGTCACTTTCATGTGACGAAATCAAAAAAAAATATTTTGTGACTTTACTAATATGATAATTTTGTTTGTAAAGCTAACAATTTTATTGACTACTTCACTTGATGATGAAAGTTTCCAATTGCGAGGTCACTTTCATGTGACAAATATAATTTTGTGATTTCACTTTCAATATATATATATATATATATATATATATATGACATTAAACAAGAGATTGTTATTTGCCATATTTTATTTAAAAATAAGGATAAAATTTAAATTTATTCTTTTTAGTGAATCATATATTTTCTAAGTCTAATTGAGGCTCTTATCACACCCCAAAGTATTTATCAAAAAATCAAATTTAATCATTTTTATAATATGAAGTTAATAATATATGTTATAAAACTAAAGCAAGATAAGACAAGAAATATAGAAGATGAGAGCAATAGAAATAGAGAGATAATAGATGAGAGCTTTACTTATTCTTTTAAGTATTCAAATGTTACAATATGTATACAATATGAACTCTTATACTTCTATTTATAATGTTACATAGAGGCATACCAAAGGTTAGTCATAAACATAACATTAATCATGAAGATGATGGAGGAGGTTATGGAGGTGTAAGGTTACAAGAATGATGATCATAAAGGTGGAAGTTATCTAAATAATCTGGGGAACTAATTGAGATAATTAGTGATAGTAACTTCTTGGTGTAGTGAGCATCCACACCATAATATTTTATAACACTCCCCTTGGATGTCCATATATAATATTCCTCGTTTAAAACTTATTAGGCAAAAACCTTGTGGGAAAAAATTCTAGTGAAATAAAAAGAGTACACATGTCTTTTAATACGCTTTGAATGTTGCCTCATTAAAACCTTACTAGGAAACCTCAATTGGGATAAAATCATGGTTGAGGAAAAGAGTACAACACGTAATTTTCTCCCCTTAATAAAAACTTTACTTGATATCTCGAAGACGGTGCATTCCAATCTTATATCACTACTTCTCAAATATTGATGTTGGCAATCCTTAGTGAATAAGTTTACAAGATTATCACTTGAATGGGTCTTTGAACGTTTGTCTCACCATTTTGTTGAAGATCATGTGTGAAACAGAATTTTGGTGAAATATGCTTTGTCCGATGTGCTTTGATTGTATCCTCCCTTCAATTGAGCTATAGATTATTTTTGTATATGGTGGCTGGATATCCTTTTCCAAAGGAAAATCACACATTTTTTTAATATGATAGATCATAATTTCAACCAAACACACTCCGACATACTTCATAGACCAATATTATTTATGCATGATTTGAAGAAGTGGTTACTAATATTTGATTTTTTGAATGTCAAGATATTGTTGTGCCTCCATATGTAAACAAATAGTCCATTTGTGATCAAGCTTTTTACGGGTCAAATAAATATTCTGCATCTATATAATCAAATCATTTCTGACTTAGAGATTGATCATTTTACTTTTATTTAAGCTCATCTTTTCTTCTCAAAGAAAATCAAACATCTTCTATGTGTTGAGTCACTTGCTTTGTTAGTTTCTAGGCATAACTTGAATAATAATATGACAATCCCTTCACATAACTTTCATTATGTATATCAAATAATCTTCTAACATTTGCATAACCAGTAATCTGTAAGTGCACCAATTGTACTAACACATGATAAATTTTAATCATTTTCATGAGATCGAAAAGATTCTTTCTTTGTGTTTAAGCAATCTCAAATCCATCAGGTACTCAATGGAATTATTTTAAGACTTTTTAAATCCTTCAAGAATTTTCATATAACCTTCATCTTCTAGTTAGACATAATAACCATTCATTATACATATTCAAGTATTTTATCTATTGTCATACTGAAACAAGTCTCATTGCATCCACCACTAGAGAGTATATCTCCATTTAATAATGTCAAAACTTTTGCAAAAACTCTTTATGCCTCGAGGCACAAACCACACTTTATATCTTACAGTTATACTTTCACACAATGATTCATTTAATTTGTACCCCATTGACTTCATATCTTGATCTATGAGCTATATTCAAAAACATCACTTTTCTAAGTGAAACAAAATATACTTGAATAATGCATTTTATTTGGCCAATTATTTATCTGTCCACACTATATGACAAATTTGAATTCAAGATCTTCGTAACCATTTATAGCATTGAGTGCTACTTCATATCAAAATTATCGTCGACGGTCATTTGACTTGATCCCAATACAACATAACTTATTGAGATCTCTTCATTTTTCATCATTTCAGGTACCTGAACCTTTGCCAAGGTTTTATGAAGTGTTTGTTAGCTCGTAGTGCTCTTTCAAAGCACTTACCTCATTATCATGACCATTTTGATAATTTGCTCATTTCCTTCCTCAATGAATTTTACGTTTGGAATCTATTGGTATATCACGCTTCTGGTGTACCATAGACTCTGTCCTTCAAGGGCTATTTATTGGAGCATTTGCAGCTTAATTAAAATATTGGGTCAGCAAATACATCTGGTGAATTATTTGCAACATTTTGCAAATGAATTATCTGTTGAACTTCAAGTTCACATAAATTTAACGAGGATCTAGATAATTTACCCCACACATAATTTCCAGCTGCTAAACACATCTCCTCATAATGTTAGGAAATTTAACATTTACACCCAACCTCATGTGGGGATCCATCTTTGTGTGTGGTGGAGCAATACAATCATATGTGCGCATATCAAATTTTTAGATGAAAATTATTTAGTTCCTGACCCTGTATCAATTGTGATGGGAGAACTTGCTGGCTTGATGCGTACATGTTAAATAAATTCATCTCATACCAAATTTTATTTGAGAGATTTGTTCTTATGACCAATGGTCTAGCTATAATTTGAGACAAACAATTTCTGCTAAACCAACTAGTATTATCAAACATAATTTTATGGTTTAAAACTGTTCTCTTAATTTAACAATTCGAGCACTTGGGTCACCATAATTCTTTTTCAATTAAGAGTTATCATTGTAAGGAGCGGCTACAAGTGTCACCTCAAAACATTCAAACATTTTAAGAAGTCTTTCCACATAATGTTCGTGTGACAACATTATATCATCTTCACTCATTATAACTTTAACTCTCAATATCATATTTACTTCACCCAGATCTTTCGTATCAAAATTAGTAAACAAAAACAATTTGGTACTTTTCACAATATTTAAATTTATACCAAATATAAGCATGTCATCAACATATAAACATATTATCACATAATCATTGTCTACCATTTTAGTAAAAACACATTTATCCTCTTCAACAAAAGAAAATTTGCCTCTCAATAAAACTTGATCTAATTTTTCATATCACTATTTAGGAGCTTGTTTTAGACCATAAAGAGATTTCATTAGGCATAATACATAAACATGACTCTTAACTTGCCTTCAATGGACAACTATGTCCTCCAACTTTGAGTGTGCACAAGTAGGCACTTAAACTTGTATAAAATTGAACAAGTAGACACACATGTCCTACATGCATAATACACGTAAGACTCAATGTAGGACACAAAATTGCCATGTAGGATGCCATGTAGGACGAATGTGTCTATTTGTTCAATTTTACACAAGTTTAAGTGTCTACTTGTCCACACCCAAAGTTAAAGGTCATAGTTATCAACTGACGCCAAGTTAAGGGTCATGTTTATTTATTATGCCGATTTAATTAATTTACAAACTTTATTTTCTTGTAATCATATTATATATGTGTACATTTTAAACGTGTGTATACAATAAGAGCATAAATGAATAGTTTCAACTGAATTCTTTGAACTCGGACTAAATTCTACGTATGTAGAATATTAAGGGCAATTTTCTTTACAAATATCCAATTGTAACATACACATACATATATATTTTTCTGGAGTGTATGTCATTCATAATTGAACTTTAGTTCAATGTGTTACACCCACTAGTCATAAGAACTATGCACTATACAAGTAATACATATATATCTGTCATAAAATTCAAGTGGATTCACTACTTGAAATAAAGCTCAGCAAGTTTCTTGAGAGTTTCGAAAACGCTTGTGAATGGGTTGAATTGAACAGGGCGTCTCAACTCTAAATCAGGAAATTGGTTGTTTAGAGCTTGTTGCATTCCGGACATTGACATCATTGCTGATAGCTGACTGGTAGTCTTTACCTCACAGTCTTGTGGAGTGTCTTTGATTTTGCTCGGATCATATCCGAAACTTGCCAAGTAGTTTTTGTACTTCTCGATAAATTCTGGTCCTGGATTGGGCGTCCTCGAGTATATCTGATTGAGGAGAGAAAAAAGGCATAATCAGTTACTCATTCGGATAAATTATGTGCTATGTAAATCAAGCAATTTTGAGAGTTGTAAACTACAAATTCAGGCTTCAGTAATATGTGAATAATATCGGATAGCAATTTCATAACAGCAACCTATGAACCAATAAATGAAATGTACGATGAGTTTCCTTTATGGTTCCGGAAAGAAATTTCAAAACTCGCGACCCAACGTGAGTCTCTGCACCTTCTTACACGGTAAAAGAGAAATACTGTGATGAATTCTAGGGAACCAGCCAACCGGCTGCCTCAACGTTCTCCTCAGCAACCCAGCACCCAACTAGCCATTGGCAACTCAGCACTATCCTGGGTGCCCCAGTGTTCAATTAAGCAATAAGCAGTGACCCAGCATGACTTATTCAAACAGGAGATTGATTATCATAGCTATGATCGAAAAGTATATTTTTTGAATGAAGTATATTTCATCACTTCAACGTGCATTAGATGAACACGGCAGAACTTGATTATACACTTAATCGAAATAGAGGGTGTGTTCAGTATGGAGGGGAAAAAATCAAATGTTTTCGACTTTTCTCATGTTGGGTTGGTCGAAATTTTTGAGAACATTTTCTCCAGGAAAACAAGTTCCTTAAAAATGAGTAAAATAACTTCCCCAAAGGAAGTAGGGAAAACAAGTTTCACAGGTGACATTTCACATTGATTGTCTCCTTCCCAGTTCCCACCCTCCAACACACCTCGTCTTCACCCCACCTAAAAAAAATAAAAAAAAATAATATGCAAATGCTTTTAGGATAATATTTTTTTATTTATGTACCAAACACTAGAAAATAAGTAAGAAAACCACCTATTTTCATGTAAAACATTTTCCTTTGTACCGAACACACTCAGAATGTCATAATGAGTTATGTGGACAGCTTACGCTTCAAAGATTGAAGTTCAAAGTTGTATGTAGTAACAGAAGCTTGGGCCTTCAAAAGCTTCAAGCCTGCCATCACTCTCATGAAGGAAGCCTTGTAATTTTTTTCTTCTTCTTGTGTAATGTTCAATTGAATCAGATATAGATTTATGCTGTGTTATAACTTATATCGTGCAAAGTTGATATCTTTGCATCTTCTTTTATAATCACAAATGCCTCTTCCAGCATTCTTATAACAATACTAGACATTCAAACACTCATAGGCAGATCCAGGATTTGAACGTTACAAGTTCGAGTTTGGGGTCATACCATAAACATTTGATTTACTGGATCTGAAATCTATCATCTCTACTTATTTAGTGCACATCTTAACATATATACAGGGTACGAGCCAAAACTACTGGGTTCGGATGAACCCATATATAGTTCACTAGATCTGCTCCTGCAAGCACTAACATCAACAAATACATTAATCAATCCTAGTTCACATCATATATCCGTAATTATAAAATGTATCTACTGTTATGCCCATCCAGTGTGATACCTGTACAATGTACCCCTTTTACGTAAGCTGTAGGCTATGCTAATGATATCTAAAACATCCCCACATACTAAGTCTTGATACTTAGAAAATGGACCCGATATCAGAAGGTTCGAAGGGAGTGGCTGTATCCATGTCTTCATACAAAAGAAAAGTTTTTCTTTCTAATTAGCTCAAGTAAAGAAATGGATCTTGAGCCTAACTCAACCGCAAAAACTAGCTCAAGAGGTGAGGATTGCCCAAACCATATAACGAAACCACCTATCCCATAATTGACGGATGTGGGACTTCTTTAACAGCTCCCTATTATGCTATTGCTTAGTTGGGATATTTCATTGATTTAAAGGCATAACAGCACTAAACATTTGATATGTAAGAAACCATCCACATATAACTACTATTGTTATGCCACATTTTGTATCTTTTGTAATTTAAAAGCTGTACAAAACTAAAAAGTTATCATAATCAGTTGCAATCAGTGCAAAGTTATCATACTGAAAGAATTGATTACCTGAACGAAGCTTTTATCTTTAGCTCCAGAAACCAGTGCGAAGTTATCATAATCAGTTGCAATCACATCATAAGGCTCCTTGGGGATGAACGGCAGTGTAGGAAACCTAAGGTAACACTTTTCCCTAATCATTTCTTGCCTTTCTAGATCAGTCTCATCTTTCTCCTTATCCTCCTCATTAAGGCATTGAACCCTTCCCCTTATGCCTGTAATGTAGCCATCGGGTCCTCCATGAACGCAAAATGTGTCTACTTGGATAGCAGGTGCATTCATATCAACAGTGTAAATGCCCTGACATAATTTGGAACAAAGACAGATTATGCCAAAAAAGACATCTTCAAGTATTTGTGTCCGAGAATCAGGTAACCCAAAATATCCTCAAAAGACAGCAAATAAAGGCGTGATTTTTCAGGTGTTAACACTCTCAACATTCACCTGTGTGCAGTGGCAATCTTCTTGACCTTGTCCAGCAAATCCACGTTTAAGGGAAGCTACTTCAAACCATCTTCCAGAATACCTGATTGGATCAAAGTCTTTCGCTGTCATTCCTCGCATCATCATCAGCTTTCCACCATCATTTCCCTTCTCCAATGGAAGTGTTGGCATGCTGTCTGCAACATTTGCAAGTTGGAACACACTGTTGTAATGAGGAGGGTCTGCTGCAAAAGCCTACCAATAGAAAGAAGATACGCTGGAAAGTTAAACAAATATTTCTGGAATTTTCTCTTTTAAGTTAATTCGTAACAGAATGCATTCCCAAAAGTCATATTCTTTCCATAAAATTATCTTTGCTTAATATAAAAGCATCATTTTCGACCTATAGCTTTCACAACCATTCTATCAAATCAACCAAATACATATGTGCAGTGCCACTTTTGTCTCTGGAATCAGGAGAAAAAATATAGTAAAGATACTAACCATGTTACTTGGAGAGAGACATAGGATCGATGCCGCAAGACCTGAAATGACATGTTTAACCTCAACCTTACTAAATATAGGACATTCAGTGCAGCAGGCAGACACCACTTTCACAGGCAACCCCCTACAAGGACCGACGAACAATCCTCATTACATGAAGAATGGGAATGTTTTGGAAGGAAAAAAGAATCTTTGAGAAAACATCAGCCATATAAATATAATACGTAAACTAAGCTGGATGCATTACCCTGCTTGGCCAGTTTTAGGTTATTGATTACTGCAGGAAACAAGAGCAAACAAGCAATGCCTTTTGTTGGACTACGCCTCAAACACACCAAAAGGTATCAGACAACGAAATATCCTATTGGATGTACTTTCTATTCAGAGGTGTAGTTCCATTAAAGGAGGAATTTTCGTGTACTGAAATAGGACTAATTTCCACGGTTACCTACTCCTCCCACCAGGACAGGTACCGGATAGCTCTTTCCACTAGGGAAGAATCACCTAGTATATTTGTCTCCGATGAATTTGAACCTGAGACCTCATGGTTCTCAACCCACTTCATTGACCAGTAGGCCATGACCGTGGGCGCTTGTATGATGATCAAGCAACTTTCAATCCTTTGACTCTAAGAAGACCTCATTATGATAAACTATTTCTATTAATACACTTGAGATTTGAGAATGTAATCTAATGCCCATTCTCATGTCATCCTTACTCTTTGTCCAATCAGATCATGGGATCAACTAAATGAACAAGCAATATTACTTAGAATGTGGCTGATATAGGAAGACTTAGATTGTTGGTTAAGAAGAATATGTATTTTCCCAAGTACTAAAATTAGCGGATGAGCTATTCACTCATTTCTTATGCATACAGATGTCCACAATATGGTATCAAAAGAAACAACAAATTTATACTTGAGAAACTAATTAATAGAAGGTTCTTGTTTAGTATCAGAGTTTAAATGGAGAAACATGATCAGGTTTAGGATTTATATAACCGACTCCAACTTGATTGAGACTGAGGCTTATATGGGAAGCTAAAAGTGCTTATTTTAGAAAGTTAGGTATTTGATATCGATTTTAGGGAAAAATAAGTGCTTGAGTAGTAGCTTACACAAACTGCTGCTCAAACATCGGGCAAAACTGATTAATCAAACACAAATTGCTACTCTCGAAAAGTACTTTTTTCGAAAAGCATTTCTCCAAACAAGAACATTTTATAAACTTGGTCAAACAGACTATTTAATATTGTAAACCTAAATGAAAAAGTTCAAACAGACTCACAAAAATCTGACATTCTTCCCTTGGTTATGGCATTTTAGCTTAAAGATTTCGAATTGCAGCTTTCTCTTTTCCTCATTTTCTTTCCTTCAACTATATTGGGTCAGATTTCAGTAAAACTTCTTCAGAATTTAGAATTTGCTTTACTTAATTCTGAACAACCACAACCATAAAGGGTACTATTTTAACAGATCACAGCAGTATAATTAGAGAATATAATTGTTGAGATTTGAGAATGATAAGGAAAAAAAGAGTGGAGATTATACCTGGGTTTTGATGGATATTGTGATTGAACCAAAATTGGAGGTGATTGTTGGGCCACTAAATTATAGCAAAACATTGTGTTCTTGATTATACAGCAACTTCACTTGAGCTGTAAGCCAATTATTAAAACACTTGTGTGCCAACTGTGTTTGTAGTTTCCTTGTTAGCATGTAACAAAAAAGTGTTACCACTTCCCTTTTTCTCGACTTTTGTTCACTATACTAAAAATAGTTATATGATAATATTTGTTTAATTTAAAAAAAAATTAAATGATAATTTATCTTTTTATGTTTGTTTTATCTTTGTTATTAAATACTATTACATCTAATATATTTCCCTAAACATTACATTTAATATATTTAAAGGGTAATATAGTAATATTACTCTTTTTATTTATTGTTTCTTAAGATGTGTGTCAAGTTAATATTGACGGATTAATTATTATGTTGCACTTTTCAAAAGTCAATTTGACAAATTTTCAAAGTTAAATTAGATTATATTAATTCAATATTTTAAACCAAAAAAATAGATATTCAAAAACTATACGAATACTACTATAAATTGCAACTTTTTTCATATAAATATGATGAAAAAATATATCGTAAAATGTTAGTCAAAGTTTTTATAATTTGACTCTAAAAAAAGAAACTATGACAACTAAAAATAAACCGAAAGAGTAGTTGATAACTATTATTAGATGGAGGAAAGGAGTTTTTAAAATTATAAATAATTTAATAATAAACTATTTTTTCTTATATTAAATAAAATAATTTATAGTCATCAATAATTAAAAAGTAATTTAGATTATAAATTTCTAAAGATTTTTTTTTTTTCTTAAAATTTTATGTCAAGTCATACAATATCAACGGAAAAACTGCTACTCTCGTGAAGAGTTATGATAGTGGGTGTTTAACCTTATTTTATTGTGAATTTTCTTAAACAATATTTTTTATTTTTTAAATGAAAAATGATATTTAATTGACAGACCAACAGTTGTTGTTGGAAGGCTTTTTTTTTTTGTGTGTATGTGTGTTTTCTCCAAAATCAAAAATAAATCTATTACATGAGAGATCGAGGAGAATGAAAATTACACAAGTTTACAATTTAATTTTTTATAACTTTATTGATATAGTTGGTGAAATTTAATAAGAAGAAATATATTTTGTAATTACTAGCACGACAATTTTGCTTGCTTGCGAATAATAATTATTTTGACCATTTCACTTGATGATGAAAATTGCTCCACAGTTGTGCAGTAGCTTTCACGTGACAAATTATAATTTTTTGACTTTACTATACAAAAAGTACATATTTATAAGATATTTAAAAAGAAATTGTAGTTTTTCATATTTAAAATTCAACAATAAAATTTTAAAATATCTTTTAGTAAATTCATAGATTACCTATTTCCTGTCCTTATCACGCCCCAAAATATTAAACAAAAATTCAAATTTAAACATTCTAGAAATCAAAATAAAAGTAGTATTACTCTAGAACTAAATAGTAGGGATCATTTGGTTTAACAATTAAATTATGCAGGGATCTATAATATAGAAATTTGTAATGTGGAGTTAATAATATATGAATTATACAGTGAGAATTATTAATGCATGTTTAATCATTTTAAGATTTTTAAAGCATATATTGCAAATACTATACTTTTATTCGATGGTCTATCTCCCATAAAATAACTATCTTCATTTTAATTTGTTTATCGAAATTTAAAGAATAAAGATTTTTTTAAGGCATAAAATTAAAGAGCATTTGGTACATACTATATATCTTTTGACAACTGTTTCTTTCTAGCTTTTCATGTGACATATTTAAAATCATAATAAATAATATTTTGATACATTTGACATATTTAGTTTACTATTACAAAATTAAAATATTATTTTATTTAAAATATTTATATATATTTTTTATTATGGAAAGGTCTACTAAAATGTGGTAGGAAAGTTCCTCTGTGTTCTTGCACCCAAAAGGAAACAAAACGGAAAAACTTCATACTATAGTTGTCCGCCGTCAACGAAAATATTTTCAGGTAAATTTTTCTTTAAAGTTTATATTTATACATTTGTAAATTTTTTCATTAAATCTGTTCCTTGTTAGCATAATAAGGATAAATATGACATTTTTAATCCTAATATATTTTTCTGCTTGTTGGGTCAATTGCCTTGCATTGGGTTTGGATTATTTTGATGTTACCTTTGAGTTTTTTTTTTTTTTTTTTGTCAAATAAATTTAAGATAAAATTTGTATATTTGTCACTTTTTTTTTAGCTGTTTATCAACTTCTTGAGATTGTCTGTTCATTAGAATTTATCTATTCTAATATGTTCTTTTATGTAAGAAGCTGGATTCGGTCGAACCCAATAACTTTTACTTAAATAGAGTATTTGAATCAAGAAGTTTGTTGAATATATACAAGTTTTGATTTAAAACCTAGTTATAATCACTTATAGTCATTATTCTTAAATTCAGAATCCATAAAGTTAAAATTTTGGCTCCGGCTCAGTGCAAGATGGTCCTTGTGCAAAGGCGGATCCATTGTCAAATATTTGTAGATTTTTAATGAACTTTTTAATTACTCCCTTCTTCTCAATTTTGTATGAGTTAGTTTGATTTGATACGAAGTTTAAGATAAAAGGAAGGACTTCTGAAACTTGTGGTCTAAAATAAGTCATATATATTTATGTGGCGAGAAATCATTTCATTAAGAATAAAATGAGCACTTTAAAGTTAAACTGTTACTAAACATATACATTCTTTTTGGGACTGGTTAAAAACGAAAGTAAATCATATAAAGTGGAACAACAAAGAGTAATGCATATACAAGGTATGCCTGAAAGCTACTTCGTTCACGTGAACCATAGCTCCTGTCTCTATACTATGAACTTCTTGCTTGTAAGAAGTTATATTGTTACGGTGATAAACATTTCGTTTTATGTTGTTTTCCTTTGTGGAATGGAAAAGGGAGAGGTTTGGGATTAACTTAGAGGGAGATATTGCGAGTTTGAATCTTGTTGTTTACTCTTCTTTATGTATTCGTGCGTTATCTAGTGTGTCTCGAAAGGGAAAAACAAAGAAATTGTGTTAGATGGATGAGAATGCGTTAGGTTTTTATGTGGTGATTGCTTTTGCAGACTTTACATCCTGAACTACTTGCTGCAAGCAGAGTTTCTCTCGTATTGATTGTTACAGCGGATAATGGCTGTTTGTGGTTCAAGAACTTCTCATATTGGCCATTTTGTTGGTAATATGGCTGCTAGGCGCCTACATTATGGATTGGCGGTAAATAATAGTAGCGTCTCTTATAGCAATAGGAGCGTTGAGAATGTTAGAAAAGCAAACATTAGTTTGAGAAATAAAGGCCAACCTCACAACTTCATGTTGTCTCAATATTATAGAACTAGTGTTGCAAAAAGGAAGGGACATTACAGTTGGTATGAAGGATTTGGATTAGAAGGTTTTCGCGTTTTATCACTTGCACGTTTCTCTTCTGGAACTACTGCTCCCGGCAGCCTGTCTTCTGATAATACTAAGGGAAAGGAACAAACTGTGAGTACTGTTGATTCTTCTGAAGGAAAGATACATCTGAAGCTGAATTCGGGATCATTTTACCTGCCTCATCCTGCTAAAGCAAAAACTGGTGGAGAGGATGCTCATTTCATTTGTGATCCTGCACAAGCTATAGGTGTAGCTGATGGGGTCGGTGGATGGGCTGATCTTGGTATTGACGCGGGAGAATATGCCCGTGAATTAATGTCTAACTGTATGTCTGTGATACAAGAGGAACCTAAGGATTCCGTAGACCTTATCAGGGTCCTGGAGAAAGCTTACATGAGAACAAAAGCAAAAGGTTCTTCAACTGCTTGTATCGTTGCACTCACTGATGAAGGTCTTTATGCCGTTAATTTAGGAGACAGTGGATTTATGTTGGTTAGGCATGGATCTCTTATATTTAAATCCCCTGTACAACAGCACGGTTTTAATTTTCCATATCAACTGGAAGGCAGCAGTGCTGGTGATTCGCCTAGCTTGGCCCAAGTGTTTAAAATTACAGTAGCTCCAGGAGATGTTGTAGCTGTTGGTACAGATGGGCTTTTTGACAATTTATATGATGCAGATATCACGGAAGTTGTGGTTCACGCTGTGGAAGCTGGCTTAGCACCACAGATGACAGCTCAAAAGATAGCAGCATTGGCACAGCAAAGAGCAATGGACACAACTAAGCCATCACCTTTCTCTGATGCAGCCAAAGAGGCCGGATTTGAGTACCACGGGGGGAAGCTTGATGACATAACCGTAGTTGTTTCTTACGTAACTAACAATGCCAATCCATTGACAAATTGAGATTCTTAGTTTGAGCCTCAATCTTTGATGTTTTTGAAGTAGGCGTGCAGCTGACTGTGACTAGCAATTCGCCTAGTGGTGCTCCTTGATCCGTCAAGTGTTTTAGTTCCTAGATTTACAGTACGGAGGCATGTCTATATGTTGTATACGATGCTTATATATTGTATACCATGATCTAATTGATAGAAGTCTTAATTGATAAATTGTTCTTGTTGACATTGATGGATTTCAAAGACACTGTTCCTTGGAAGTAATGTTTCTGTCTGTGTGGTTCTGTTTTGTAAGCCAAGTGGGCTCTGTTATGATTTCTTAAAAGTTATAACATCCACCTTATTTAGCAGAAAAGGAATATGAAGTATCATTTCATTTGTTTATCCCACCCTTTGGTAGGGTCGTAGGAATATCTTATCCTGGAACTAATTACTGCTGCTGAAATCATATCATAGCAGGGTGATGCCTGTGAATAAGGTTGGAGAATTGAAATAATGAATGATATTAGTATATATTATTCCTGGATAACAAATGTCATCCACCACATACATCATCTTCATCTTTATTGAATCACAATGACTGGTATATTTTCTACTTTTTCTCAGGAAGTTTCTCTAACAACTCCGGAATGACATCGAAAAGATCACCCACGAGTCCATAATCAGCAACCTGCAGTTCAAAGAAAGCAACGTTTTCAACATGGATTCCCTGCCAGTTCAAAATAAATTGTAAAAAGCACCAAGATATTAGGACGCAATGTGTTTTCTTGTGGCATGTATGGTCGTTGTGGTATTATAGCACCCTG